AGTTTACTTAGTACTAAGATACTAAGATATCGGTTTACATTTTCGCCGGTTCCGTCAGCGGGCAACGACGGTGATGTAAATTGTATATAGTAGATACCGCGATACATCATCACCGGTACCATTAGATGCACATCGTGCCCTGACTGTTTGGGGATCCCAGCGTCACGTACACAATGTGAAACGCGACAAATAAAACGTCTCTGATTGGTGGATAAGACGAACCCAAGAAGGGTATAAAAGAAGCGTTTTTTCTTACCGGACTCTCAGTAGAGTTTGGTCGCTCGATCGTTTTCGCCCATATACCTTCTCTCAATAAAGGAATAAAATAAAGCCCTTTTAAGCAAAGAATTAGAATCATATTCATTTTCATTCCATAATCCCAACAGTGCCGAATCTGTATGTGTTTGTTTGCGATTTTCACGCAACCTTCATTTCGATTCAATCTATTAGTCATGTATTCGTCTTTTTCTACGTGTTTTTATGTTACAATCTCATAACTGCGTCTCATAACTATAAAAAAAATATCAAAGGATTGTCAATTTTTATACATTGAAGTTAAGATAATAACGAATGCAGTGTGCCATATTTGGGATTGCACCGAGAATCGATATTATTTTAAACAGGGATAAACTTTATTCAGTAAACAGAAAGAACAACAGAAGAAATCTACTTCATTCTTGTTTCGTAATTATAGAACCAACAGAACATTTTACTACACAAATATTCAACGCAATATACGATAAAATGAAATTATAACAGTAATTTAGTAATGCGTGGGTCCACCTCTACTTTCAATGAGTTCATATATTCGTTTTTACATACTTTCAATCAGACTTTGTCATATTGTTTCTGGTCTCTATCCATGAAAACAACTTTTACCGATTTCTAGTAATTCTTTTATAGATTTATGGTCAACGTAGAATAATAATCCAATCAGTTTTTGTTAATATGTGCGTTCAATTGCATTTTAAAAACTTGAATATATACCATAAATGCATAAAAGTCCACAGTATAGTGATGAAACGTGGTTTTATGAGTACGACATGGACGCAAGTCAACAATCTTCGGAATACCTGTTCGAAAATAAACGAAAACCCAATAACTGAGCCAAAGTCGCTCAAAATTTAAGATCATGTGTGCTGATTGTTTTTTTTTATCATGGTCTTATTAATTCGAAATTCCTTCGTGACGGGCAACAAAATAAATTTGAATGTATAAATAAAGCTTGTGTTTTATGTACAGATTCT